GCTTTCCCTCCATCTGTCTGCCCAGGCTGGCCAGCCAAAGCCGAACTTCACGCGCAGGCAGCTGGACGTGTTGCAGATGTTTGAGAGCGGAGCGCTGCTTCAAATCCGCAACCAAGCGATTCTGGCGTTGGGGCACGGCCGTCTGTTCAGGGGCGATGGCGACTACCTGGACATCGGCGGCAGCACGGGCGGTGGCTCCAGGCGCATCATCGATTCTTGGCAGCCGCCGGACTGGCGTGACTTCCTCCAAGACGATCAGGACATCTGAGTTTTGCAAGTCTCCCTGCCCGCGGTGCTTCTCAGCCTGCGGTCTGCCGCTCTCCAGCTGCGGTCTCGAGCAGTAGTGTTCGAAAGCATGCGAGTTCCTGCGGTGCTTCTCAGCCTGCAGGTTTCGCAGCCTGCGCTCTGCAGTACAAGTGCTTTTCAGCATGCGACATCCTGCGGTGCTTCTCAGCCTGCAGGGTTCGCAACGTGCGGTTTGCAATGCATTCCTTTTCAGTATGCGAGTTCCTGCGGTGTTTCTCAGGCTGCAGGGCTCCGAGGCTCTTCGCTTCGATGCCAATGTTTTCAGACACCGTAGCTCCGTTCCGTAAACATCTTCCAAGAGCCGCTCGCAACCTTTTGCAGCTGGCGGTCTGCAGACGTAGTCTGTCTCAGCATGCGAGCTCCCGCACGCTTCGCCGGCTTTTGCTGCGCGGACAATTTTCTCACACACGTCAGCGCCGTTTGTAGGCGTCAGAAAAACATGTAGACATTCACGAAGGGCTTAGTCTGTATATCGTCACATCATTACATACGCAGTCGTCGAACACATCGGTGTACATTCAGCGCTTTGTCCTTCTACAGCATTCTTTCCGTTGATAACAGTGTTCTGATGGGTTCGCTTCGTTCTAAAAGCGTTGATAGCAGTGTCTCGTTTGCGGACAACTCATTCTATATCAACTCACTGATACCGAGTTTCCTTTCACCATAAGTGAATGCATACCAGTGTATGTTGGTTACTACAAAAGTGGGTTCCTACAACCGACTTCATGATCGCTATCATCATCGCAGATTTCACTCATCCTCATCACCACGACTGGTTCACGTTGGCCTGCGGTGCTTCTCAGCCTGCAGTTCCTTTCGTTACACTGTAGTTGAAGCCGTTCATGGCAGTGACTCGTTTAAAGACAACTTTAGTATTGGGGGAAGTGTCGATAGCAGCGTTTCTTTTTACTTATACAAGCGTTGATAGCAGTGTCTCGTTTGTGGACAACTCATTATATATCAACTCATTCATGCAGAGTTTCTTTTCGCAGCAAGTGAATGCACAGCAGTGTATCTGCATTACTGGCCCCCACTCCATTATCACTATCATCATCAACGATTTCCTACACGCGTGTGCGCGGCGGTCGCCATGAGTGAATAGTTTGCAGAGACTTCTCGCATTGATACCCATGGGTCACTTCAGAGTGAACTCATTTGTGATCTTCTTTCATTGGAAGTTGAATCGGTTGATGGCAGTGCCTCGTTTAAACTCCACTTTGGTATTGCTAGTAGTGTCAATGCCAGCGTTTCTTTTTAATTGTGCAAGCGTTGATAGCAGTGTCTCGTTTGTGGTTAGTTATAACAGCGTTGACAGCAGTGTCTCGTTTGCGGACACCTCATTGTACATCAACTCGCTGATACCGGGTTTCCTATCAACACCATCATCATCATCCTTAACCATGTTTGCTCGAGTTTCACCTGGCCGTCCAGCCGCGGCGGTGCTCCTCAGCCTGCCTTGTCACAATGCCAGCACGCGGCAAGGCATCGCCCCCGCCACCCCCGGCCCCGTGCGATGGCCCGTGGGAGATTCTGCCGGATCCGCCCGCACCGACTCCTCAGCCAGGTGTCGACGTGGTCTTTGAGCAGGCTCACCTCGAAGACATCCGCCGTACACCAGGGATGGGCGGCAAGACCGCCTGCCAGTGGCAGCGCGCGCTGCGCGCCGAGTGCATTGTCAACAACTTGTCGTTCAAAGACGTAACAAACGACCCGTCCTACGACTGGAAGCAACTGCTTCGGTCTGCCGCTCCGGGTTTCGCTGAGCGCATAATCGGGCAGGGCATCGCCCAGGTTCTCTTTCGCATCATCGAGACAGAGCGCGACCCTAACTACTCCAACACGGATGGCCACGGCAGGCACTTCTTCGAGTTCCGTCGTGCAGACGGTTCAGCCATGCGCCTGCATTACCATAAGAACGGCCGACCCGATGAGCCCACCTATGTCGGTCCACCACGCGCCGTTGCTCAGCCTGCCGTGCCTGAGCCTGGCGCTGCTCAGCCTCATGTTCCTCGTGGCGGCGCTGCTCAGACTGCCGTGCCTGACGGTGGCGCTGCTCAGCCTGCCGAGACTGGCGGTGATGCCCCACTGCTCTTCACACAGGAGCACCTGCAAGAGGCAGCCTGCTCGCGCCAGATTGTGGGCCGCGACGAAGCCAGCGCCGCTCTCCAATCGCTGTTGCACTACCACCATGGCGAGACTGCCCCAGGTGCTGTTGACATCACCGATGGCTCAGCATTTGACTGGCTTCGATGGGTGGCACATATCGAAGGTGCGCGCGACGTCATCCGCAATGGCGTCCACAGGGTCTACGCTGTCCGCTGGAATCCGCACTGGGCTCCAGAGGCCGTCTTCTGCTACGGCAACAACACCTACAGCACACTGGTGCCCCGCAAATCGCGCTACACAGGCTCGTGGAGCCACGCGCGAATTGTGACTCACCGGAACGCCAATTGGGTGACCGAACCGTTGCTATCTGCGGCCCCTGTGGCAGCTACGCCGTGGCTGGTGTTGCGGGATCAAATAACCTGGGAGTGATCTCTGGCAAACGAGATGTGGTGCTTCTCAGCCTGCACTCATGTGACACGCAATGCCGTGCCCTGCAATCGCGTGGTGTTTCTCAGCCTGCACTCGCAGGTCCTTCGGAGGTCAATTGTTATGAGTTCGGCACGGTCTCGGTCAAGTACAGCGTGCTGTGGGGATCCCGAGATGGGGCCTGGCTCAAGGTGCTCAAGACGTACTGGAGTGTCCCAGAGCCGGAGTGCCAGCTGATCCTCGGGAGTTGGAACGGCATTTTCAGGCCGTGGCCGGACACGTTCTGGATCAGGACGGGGGGGTCCGAGCCCGAGATAGATGCTAGCGCTCTGCAGTACAAGTGCTTTTCAGCATGCGACATCCTGCGGTGCTTCTCAGCCTGCAGGGTTCGCAGCGTGCGGTTTGCAATGCATTCCTTTTCAGTATGCGAGTTCCTGCGGTGTTTCTCAGGTTGCAGGGCTCCGAGGCTCTTCCCTTCGATGCCAATGTTTTCAGACACCGTAGCTCCGTTCCGTAAACATCTTCCAAGAGCCGCTCGCAACTTTTTGCAGCTGGCGGTCTGCAGACGTAGTCTGTCTCAGCATGCGAGCTCCCGCACGCTTCGCCGGCTTTTGCTGCGCGGACAATTTTCTCACACACGTCAGCGCCGTTTGTAGGCGTCAGAAAAACATGTAGACATTCACGAAGGGCTCAGTCTGTATATCGTCACATCATTACATACGCAGTCGTCGAACACATCGGTGTACATTCAGCGCTTTGTCCTTCTAGCTGGGTCGCTTCGTGCTGAGGCTGAGGCTGATGCAGGCTGAGGCTGAGGCAGGCTGAGGCTGAGGCCGAGGCCGACGGCAGACTGAGGCTGAGGCTGAAGCAGGCTGAGGCTGAGGCTGAGGCAGGCAGGCTGAGGCTGAGGCTGATGCTGAGGCAGGCTGAGGCTGAGGCTGAGGCTGATGCAGGCTGAGGCTGAGGCAGGCTGAGGCTGAGGCCGAGGCCGAAGGCAGACTGATGCTGAGGCTGAAGCAGGCTGAGGCTGAGGCTGAGGCAGGCTGAGGCTGAGGCAGGCGGAGGCTGAGGCTGAGGCAGGCTGAGGCTGAGGCTGTGACTGCGACTGCCGTTGCCACTGCGACTGTCCTCGCGAATGCGACAACGACTGCGAGAACAGCAGAATTCTACAACTGGATTCTCATCCGAATCTTAAGGGGAATGCTTCCAGATATGCTCCTACACATGGCTGTTAGGTTGCTTTGCCGGGATAATTCGACGAAAAATAAAAAATACGCCACAAATGCCCCCTGGACTATTTTTGGACTATGTTTTGACTATTTCTGTGGCATTTTCATTTTTCGTCGAAAATCCCCCTGCAGGGGGACCTGCCCGACTTGACCCCAGGCAGCGGTGGCTCTGGATGCGAAGCCTGCCGATCGTGGCACGCGGTGCGACAAAGGGCGGCCACGCCGAACGCCGCGCACCCGAAGACGCTCCGACACGGGGTCCCCCAGAAGTCTCGAGACCCCTCCCCCGGGGGACCTCCCTCGGCCCCTTCAACACGGTCGAGGCCTCCTCCCCGTCGAGACCTCCTTCGACCTCCTCCCTTCCTTCACACGGACCTCCCCCCCTCGACCTCCCGTCGAGACCTCCTGCCCGGTCGGATTCCCCCGACACTCCGACACTCCGACTCTCGGGTCGGGCGAAAGGGGGGGATAGCAAACGGGAGGTTTGAGAATCAGCTCACGTAGCTGACTTTCCCGGCGCCTCCTGGCGCTGGAGGCGACTATGTATCGAGGAATGGGTCCCTCGGTGGGGCCGAAACCAGCTGCATGCAGCAAATTTCGTAACCCCCCGTTTCCCAATCCCCCCCATTCGTCCGGCCCGAGACACTCCGACTCGAGACCCCTTCCCCGGGGGACCTCCCTCCGCCCCGAGCCGGCACCTGACGGCCCCTGGGGTCGGCGGGGCGGCCCCTGCAGGGGCTGAAGACGGCGTTAAACACCTTCCGCCTTGATTTTTGTGAATCCGTTGGAGGCGGTCGTCTTCGTCGTCGTCGTCGTCGTCGTCGTCGTCGTCGTCGTCGTCGTCGTCGCCGACCGAGCCGAGGCGGCCGCGGCGAGCGGCGGCGAGGCGGTGGCGCGTGGGGCGGCGCTCGCTGGGAGAACGGCGGGGCGCGCCCTTTGTCGGGGTGGTTCTGCACTGACAGCCGCCGGAACCTTGGCCGGAACCGCGCCGCGCCAGGGGCCTCCGGGCGGAGACGCCCGGGCGACTACAGTCAACCAGTACAGTAAGGATGCGCGATAAGGATGCAGGAGCCTTGGACGCCCTTTTCGAAGCTTTTCGAGCGGGGCGCGGCCAGCGAAAGCGGCGAAGGATGGACCGAGGATGCAAGGATGCAAGGGTACCCTTGGGAAGGTTGCCCATCCTTACTATGCGGCTTGACTGTACAGTCGGGGTGGATTGAAGAGGACACGCGAGAGGGCACAGGACTCTTCCGAGGGCCACATAGCCATACGAATGTAGCAGCACGGGTCGCGAGGCACAGGACACAAGGGTACCCTTGATTCGGCAGGGTCGACCTACTATGAAGGGGCCCAGGGACGCACAGCTAAATACACACAAACCCTAAGACTCCCTATATTTTCTAATATGTTCTGGGTCTTCATCTCCCCCCCGCTTCCCATATTTTCCCAGATTCTCCGGGGAAATCGACGATTCATTGTATGTGCGTCTTTGTTCCCTCCTGATACTACTCTGAAGTCGGGCGTGTCCCCCTGCAGGGGGATTTTCGACGAAAAATAAAAATACTAGAAAAATACCCCAAGAAAGCAAAAAAAACTCAAATAATAGTCCCCCGACTATTTTTTGATTTGTTTTGATTATTGTTGGTGCATGTTTATCATTCGTCGAACATCTCCCTTTAGGGGGACAGGCCCGACTTAATACTATCCAGCCTCGACTCTTTTTGAATAGCCTGGGGACTACTTTTTAAATATTGTTTGACCTTTTTGGTGTATTGTTGGGGATGTGTTTTTATCTTTCGTCGAAAATCCCCCTGTAGGGGGACAGGCCCGACCTGATACTACTCGGCCTCGACTTTTAGCAGGGGCAACGCCTGCAGGCCTGGCGTGCTCCGAGCATCGTCTGCCCGATCCCCGTCCCCAGCGGCGTGGCCTGGGCCCCGCTGGCGCCGAGTTACCCCCCTGGATGGGGATGTAGGCCGCTCCCTTCGGGTTTCGAGGGGTGCACCCCCAACTGGGGTGGTACTTTGGTGGGGGGTTCGGAGGGGATGGGGATGGGGGTGGGGATTGGTTGAACGCTGCCGACCCAAGGTTTGCGGCCCAAGGCGCGCGCAGGCTGAGCATCGTTTCACCGATCCCCGTCCCTAGCGGCGTGGCCTGGGCCCCACTGGCGCCGAGTTACCCCCCTAGATGGGGCTATATTTGGACGCCCGAAATGGGTACGGAAAAAATGGGTACAATGCTCAACAACAAATGTTGTCCCAAACCAACAGCGGCTGCTGTTGGGCGGGCGGTCTTCTGTCTCGAACGGACACAGCCGCGGCGGCGCGGACAGCGAGTCCTGTTCAAAATGAACAGGAACTGCTGTTGGGCATTGTACCCATTCTTTCCGTATCCATTTCGTTGGTGCAGAATATAAGCCGTTCCCTTCGGGTTTCGAGGGGGGTATCCCCAGCTGGGAGGGTACTTTGGTGACGGTCTCGAAGGGGAATGGGGATGGGGGAGGAGGAGGAGGAGGAGGAGGAGGAGGAGGAGGAGGAGGAGGAGGAGGAGGGAGGAGGAGAGGCGGGGGGAGGAGGAGGAGGAGGAGGAGGGGAGGAGGAGGAGAGGAGGAGGAGGGGGAGGAGGAGGGGGAGGAGGAGGGAGGAGGAGGAGGAGGAGAACGAGGAGGAGGAGGAGGAGGAGGAGGAGGAGGAGGAGGAGGAGGGGATCGGTCAAACGATACCGATGTGCGGCTTGACAGTGCATCGCCGACGCAGCGGGTATCGGACTCCGACAGGGAGCCCGCGCGTGCCTGGGCGGAGCGGGCCATCGAGCCCCCGGTGAAGGTCTCGAAGGGGGATGGGGCTGGGGATCGGATATGACTACCTACCAGACCATTCCAACCCAACCCGAAGACCGCAGTTTCGGGTCAGGGGGGGGTGCGGGTTCCCTATATGTGTTTTTGCCCACTGGAAGTGGAGGGCAAATTGAGGCCTTCGGGTTGGGTTGGGGTGGGTTGCTGGGTGGTGAGGACTGGCCATCGCTCGGACGTCCATTCCCTCTGCTTTTTTGGTTTCGTGCTTTTCGCCTAATGATCAAGGGTGCTCCTCGATGGTCCTCGCCGAAGGAAAAGTGCACACGTCCGAGCGTTGCCAAAGGATAGACGACACCGGTGCTCGACGGGAGCGCGCCTCGTCCTCCCCGCTCTTCCGCGCACGGGCCACAGCTGGGCCCACGGCGCGGCAGGCGAGCGCGCGCCGGGTGGCGAGCGGGGGCTGGCCATCGCTCGGACGTCCATTCCCTGTGTTTGTTGTCGGTTTCGTGCGTGGTTTTTTTCGCCAAATGATCAAGGATTTTCCTCGATGGTCCTCGCCGAAGGAAAAATGCACACGTCCGAGCGATGCCAAGCGAGCGGGGGGGGCTGCCTGCAGCGGCCCGAGCCTCCGAGGCGGAGCAGGCGCCGATGCCGCTGCTCGTCTTATGCTGTTCCCGGCCTGCTTGATGACCGCATCCCAGAAATTGTTCCGTTCCCATTTTCAAGGGGGGACGTTGTCGGAAACGGTGAACAAAAACGGCCCTGCCGTTTCCGGGGCCCACTAAGGTTGGGGATGCACTCCTCGAAACCCGAAGGGAACGGCCTACATCCCCATCCAGGGTTATGTTGTCCCCATCCTACTTAAGCACCACATCCCAGAAATAATGTCGAGCACCCGGGAAAGTGTCGAAAGAGTGTCAAAGCAGTGTCGAACCAGTGTCGGGCGAGTGTCTCCCAGGGCCCGACACATGAAAACCTTTGAGTTTCGGTACTTTGCTTGGCGCTCGACACTCTTTCTGGTGATCAAGGCGAACGCAGGTTGGAGCATCACCATGCTCGTCCCAGAGGGCCCTCGTTGCCGCGGCCGGATTCGCCCCGAGGTCTTGGTCAGCGGGGGCGTGCGAGTGCGGGGCACGCAGCGGCCCGAGCTCCAGGGGCAGAACCGGCAGTGCCCAGCGGGCCGTGCCCGTCGGGCACGGCCCTCTGGGCACTGCCAGGTTCTGTGCCAGAAGATCGCCGAGGAGGCGGAGGAGAGTACCACCGAGGAGGAGGAGGAGGAAGAGGAGGGCGAGGAGGACGAGGAGGAGGAGGAGGAGGAGGAGGAAGAGGAGGAGGAGGAGGACGAGGAGGAGGACCACCAAGGAGGAGGAGGAGGACGAGGAGGAGGAGGAGGAGGAGGACGAGGAGGACGACGAGGAGGTAGAGAGTGTCCAGAAGCTGCTCGCACGGCTGGCCGCAGCCCCACCGCAGCAGCGCCCAGAATACCAACGCCCGCCCCCGGCGCCAACGCTGGCCCCGGCCTGCCACTCCTGCAACTCCGCCGCGATCCGCGCTGGCACCCCGCGCGGGGAGTCGGTGACTCAAACCGCGCTGCAGAGGAGCAGCTGCCGATGGCGCTGCTCATCCTGGCGAGCCCTCGTCGCCACGGCTGGATTCTCTTCTGGCCATCGCTCGGACGTCCATTCCCTCTGCTTTTTTGGTTTCGTGCGTGTTTTTTTTCGCCAACTGATCAAGGATGCTAATCGATGGTCCTCGCCGAAGGAAAAATGCACACGTCCGAGCGATGCCAGGTCCTTGAGATTATGGTCACAACGCGCCCCTAGAAGGGTCTCAGTGAATTGCTATTCCCTCCAGGAGTTTGGCCACCGTGTGGCACAAACGCACCGAACATGCCCAACTAAACCTGCAGCCGTCTTGCTCACTGTGGCAAATAGGGGAGACCCCTGGAGGGCTACAGAGGGGCACCTCCGAACCACCGCGAGGCCTTTTTAGAAGAAGAAACAGCGGCATAGGCATACCATCGCGGAGATCCGCTCGAACTTCTTGGATTAGCGCTGCCCCCCCCCCCCACTGGCGCGCGGAGCGCGCGCCAGCCAAGAATCCGCCTGTATGGTTAACTATGCAGCTGCTCTCGCAATTCTCCAATATCGGGACCCTCTTGGGGACTCTGTGGGCCATGCCGCAAGACATCTTTGAAGGGGCCCTGGGACACACAAATACATACACACAAATAACCGGATTCCTCATATTTTCCTATATTTTCTTGGTTTTTGTCTTCCCCCCCACTTCCCATATTTTCCCATATGTTATAAGCAATCGTCGATTAATCGTGTCTGTGTGTTTTGTTTTTTTCCCTCCTGAATCTTGGCCAACGGAGCCCGTCGGACGCCATCTCGGAGGCAGGCCCTGCCCTGCCCAGCTCGGCCAGGCCCTGCCCCGCCCAGGGCTGCAGGCACCGTGCCACGAGCGACATGGGGCGGTGGCAGGAGCTGAACACAGTGAGGAAGGAAACTCCTCCCCTGGTGTCCACACGGCGCGGGTGAGTCGCGAGTGGTCTGGACGTCCGAGACGGTCCGAGGCGGCTCCAAGAGGGCCCCCAAGGAATGCGGCCCAACGATGGATCAACAATCCGGACAAAGACGGTGAACAAACAAAAAACTGTTTCTCGTCTCGATGGCTGGCTGCGGCCCGCCGGCCTCGACGAACCGGGGGTCTTTTTGTCATCGTCGACATCACGGTGGGGCGCTGCGACTTGTCCTCTGGGCATATCCCAACCATCCTGTGGAACTGCGTCCTCGTTCTCAATCCGCAGCTCCGCGCGCCTCGACCTCCATCCTCGTCTTCCTCCACCACTCTGTATGTCCTGCCACTGCTGCCGCGGCGCCGCCTCTGCCGCTGTGAATGTCGCGGTAGATCTTCGTCCAAACGCTGCAGCCAATGCAACTGCTGTCGCTGCTGCTGGTGCGTGCTGCTAGCCGTCGTAACTACCTGAGCTCCATCTGCGGCCCCCGTTGAGGGGCACCACACCGCCCTTGCATCGATTCGGCATACATCTCTCTCGCGGTTAGCGCCACATCGGGAGGCTGAGCCTGCGACCACACTTGGGTATTCTCGATTCAGTAGGAGGGGGTGCACAAGGGGTGGTCACTGAGCGCGGCCGCTATGCACCCTGGTCTTC